AACCCTAAACCCTTCTAAACCCTAGAGTGTAGTATATTAAAGGTAATGCAGGCCTTGTCTGCTCGACTGCTGGGTGCAGAGCATAGCGGTTGCATTCAGAGGGTTTAGGGTTTAGGGTTTAGGGTTTAGGGTTTGTGTGGCGCAGAATAAAGAAAGGAAGCAACGAAAAGACTGTGTTCTCTCACCCCCCCCTTATGGATGTCTTAAAAGCCAAGCTGGTGAGTTAGGGTTTAGGGTTTAGGGTTTAGGGTTTAGATAGTTGAGGGTTTAGGGTTTAGGGTTTAGATAGTTGAGGGTTTAGGGTTTAGGGTTTAGATAGTCGAGGGTTTAGTGGGCAACCAGACCCTCAACGCTTCTAAGCAAACCCTCACAAAGGAGATTTAGGGTTTAGGGTTTCAGATGCCCCTCGCTGTCCCCGCAATACAAATACCTCGAGGGTTTAGGGTTTAGGGTTTAGGGTTTGTGGTTGCTGCTTAGGGAGAGATGAACCCGAAGGTCAATGCCGCAATATATGCAGTTCTCGGTGAGACTCAGACACAAAGGATGTTTCAAATCTAGGGTTTAGGGTTTAGGGTTTAGGGTTTGGGGTTTAGGGTTTAGGGTTTAGGGTTTGTGGTTGTCTCAGCATTGCTCCGCTGGGATGAAGGGACGGGGGTGCAGCGGCGGTCGTTGGAGGCGTTCAACAGTGCAGCAGCAGCAGCAGAAGCAGCAGCAGCAGCAGCAGAAGGAGCAGCAGCAGCAGCAGCAACAACAGAAGCAGCAGCAGCAGCAGCAGCAGCAGCAAGAGAGATAGAAGCAGCAGCAGAGAAGGTGCTTGCTGCTGAAGGTGTTAAATCGACGGAAGCCATACGCTGCGCTACAAAGTGAGAGAGCTGCCTATACACCCCAGCATATCTAGGGTTTAGGGTTTAGGGTTTAGGGTTTAGGGTTTTTTATTTTTCTAGGGTTTAGGGTTTTGTGGCTCTGCGGTGTACAGACAGCTGGCTCTCGGATTCAACAAACAGTTCAATGCAGTAGCAGCTGTCGTTGGCGGCCTCCTGAGTAAGTGTAAACAACAACGAGGGTTTAGGGTTTAGGGTTTAGGGTTTAGGGTTTGTAGGTGCAACTCAACAGCGAGGGTTTAGGGTTTGTATATGCAACTAAACAACGAGGGTTTAGGGTTTAGGGTTTAGGGTTTGAGGCGGGCTCGGATTGTGTTCTTCTCAAGCCGATGATGCCCAGAGGAGGCAGGCTCTCTACCATCTAGGGTTTAGGGTTTAGGGTTTAGGGTTTAGGGTTTAGGGTTTAGGGTTTGTGTGCAGCTCAAGAGGTGAGAAAGTATATAACGAGGGAGCAGAAGGCCGTCCCCAATGTGGTTGTTTTTGATGCTCTTACATCCTGCGGGGCAGTAGCCAGGGTCCCCCCCAAACCCTAAACCCTAAACCCTAAACCCTAAACCCTCACGGACTTGTAAACTAAAGCAGCTGCAGCAGCAGCACCATCTGCTG